TAAATAATATAATATGAAAAAATAATTTGCTGTCTCTAAAAACTGCGTCTCATTAGCTAAGACACCCACAAATGAGAGTCAAGGGGTGGAAGTAAACCTGTCAACCAAATTGAAGCTGAAAACAAGCTGCCACAGCTATTCTGATATATTACAGAAGACTTCAAACGAAATGAGTAAGAAGAGATAAAAAGGTCACTGCCTATCAATAAAGGGAACACCTCATCAAGAAGACAAAGCAGCTGTAAATATGTATACCAGATGTTCTGGCTCTAAATTCCATACAACAAACACTAAAAGGCATAAAAGGTCAGATAGATCTTGATACAATAATAGTAGGTCACTTCAATACCCAACTCTCATCTACCACATGACCTACTATAGCATTCCTGGGTATATATCCAAAAGACTCTGAGACATTATTCTACAGAGATACCTGCAGATCTGTTTATTGCATAAAGAAAATGTGGTACTGTAGTCCAAGAGACTCCCAAAATAAAACAGGCTATTGCCACAGCCCTTGATTGCCTCCAAGAACTTGAAGATAAGACCCTATTGCTGAAGACAGGACATACTTTGGACACAGGACTTGAAGCAATCAAGCTGGAACAGACCTGGAAGTCTCCTCCCTCAAGACTAGCTCTCATAGTATCAGAAGATACTATACAAGTTGCCAAGGGGAAAAAAAAAATCAATGTTCCAACCCAGCTACAAAGCCTAATAAACACAATGACTAGCACAGTAAACCATTAAGTTCTCTTGTGGTCCCTTCTTTCTTTTTTTTTTTTTTTTTTTTGTCTTTTTAAGACAGAGTCTCTCTGTAGCCCTAACTGGCCTGGAACTCACTATGTAGACCAGCGTGGCCTTGAACTCACAGATCCACCTGCCCAAGTGGTGGGATTAAAGGCATGCATCACCACACTCGGCCAGTAAACTATTTCTATCAGTATAGTAGTGGCACTTTTATCTTGAGGGTAATCTAACTGGCCTGCTCAGTGGGGGAAACTCACATGTGGTACTGTAAACATAGCCAAATACATATGGCTGGAGAGGTGATAGGGCCTAGAGAAAAACCTACATCTATGTCTGTCACAACCCCAGACAAATGAAACTTCTTACTCTATGCTAAATATGCATCCTTATATTTACAGACAAGTATACCTCTCACTACTCATCAAAGAAGCTAGTTTTTGCAACAGATGGAGACTATTACAGAGTTCCATAATTGGTCAAACACACAGGGTAAGTGTCTGCGAGATGCCCACTTCTAAGTGACACATCTACAATGCAACCTCTATACCTAAGGCTCAGGGAACACAGTAGAACAGGGAGCATAGAAAATACTAATGCCTGTTCAGCATGGAAGAAGCCAGAGCTGTCTGCATCCCAATTCCCTATTGGCAATTTGGGTTTGGGTAACCCCTTCAGAGGATGGTGTGATAAGAACAGGAGGTAGGAACTGGCTAGGTAGTTAGGGTAAAAAGACCCCAAAGAAATGTCGCCAGTTTCTTGGCTAAAAGTCAAAATGTCCTTGGCCTGTTAGCAACATACTCTGTTCCAAGCCCAAAAATGTCAAAAGTATTTGGGCGCTTGTAACTAATCCTTAAAAGATTTTAGGGTTACCTCTTCAGAGGGGGGAATGTTGGAGGGGAGGGATGGGCATGGATTTGATCAAAACACCTTATATGCATGTATGAAATTCTCAATAGAGTTTTTGTAAAAACAAAAAGAAAGAAAGAAAGAAAAAGAAAACACTAACGCATCGCTCAGTTCTCACCAGTGAAGCTTCCTCACGTAACAGATGGTGATTAACACAGAAAGTCACAGCAGGCCAAAATGTAGAGAACAAGACACTGCAGAGTACGTGTCCCTGGATAGGACTCCTGTATTAAACCTCTGCCACTCAGGGCTTAGGGACGATTGCAGAAGAGGAGGAGGAAGGACTATAAAGCCAGGGGAGGTGGATGACTACAAGGAAACAGTTTTCCAAGTGGCTGAGAACTTGCTCATATGCATAAGACCTATGCAAACTCAAACCAGACAAAAACCCACCCCAGAACTGGGGAAGTGGGGAAGAAGCCCCAACCATAACTGAGGAATATTTGCAACTGATCACTGCTGGGTGAGGGAGAGTTGGTCTTCTTTAGGGGAGTGACACTAGATAGGCTGACTAAGTGACATTTGGGGACACAAACTTGAGTCAATAAGCCTTAGCAAATATGACAGAATGCAGCAAATGTCTGGCAAGGATGCTGATGGAGGGGGCAGATGGGGGAGGGGTCTAAATATGATCAAGATGTATTATATAATATGCACATAATCTCAATAATTTTTCATTTTTATGTGTATGAGTGTTATGCCTACAAGTATGTAAGTGTACCTGTGTCGTGCAAGGCCCATGGAGGTCAGAAGAGGGGTCAGATCCCCTGAGACTGGAGTTATGATGGATGTTATGGGTGCTGGGATTCGAACCCAGATCTTCTAAAAGAGCAGCCAGTTCTCTTAACCACTAAGCCATCTGTCCTAGTTTGTTCTTCATTGTTGTGACAAAGCACTCTGACCACTACCAACTTGGGGAGGAAAGGGTTTATTTATCTTACATCTCCCGGGTCACAGTTCATCAGGGAGCCCAAGATAGGAACTCAGGGCAAGAACCTGGAGGTAGGAGCTAGAGCACAGGTCATGGAGGAACGCTGCTTACTGACTTGCTCCCTTGGCCCCTGCTCAGCCTGCTTTCTTATGCAACACAGGACCACCTGCCCAGGGGTGGCACCACCCACAGTGGGCTGGGCCCTCCCACATCACTCAACAATCAAGAAGATGCCTCTCAGACATGGCCACAGGCCAGTCCAATGGAGGCAATTCCCCAATTGAGGCTCCCTCAACCCAGGTGTGTCAAGTTGACACTAAAGCTATCCAACACACAATCTCTCCAGGTACATAAAAAATTTTAAAGAAGAAAATGTGGTACATACAATGCAATTTTAGTCAGCCATAAAGCAGAATGAAATCATGGCAGTCACAGGGAAATGAATGAAACTGAGGATCTTAACATTACATGAAGTAAACCAGACTCAGAAAGAAAAATATGTATTTTCTCTTGTATGCAAGACTGAAATATGTGTGTGTGTCCCTCTGTGTGTGTGCCTGTATAAACATGAAAGTAGAACGATCACCATGAAAGGGAAAAGATCTTAAGTAAGGGAAGAGGTCAGTAAAAGAGACAGTAACAGAACACATGTGACATAAAAGCAGAAAGGGAACTCCTGGTGCGGAGAGAGGAAACCGGCAAGAGGGACAGGACACACAAACGGGACTGCGTAAGAACAAGGTAGAACGATGTGCATGCGTTGAAATGTCATAATGAAGCCCATTACTTTGTATGCTGACGTAAAATTAATTTAAAAATAGGTAAGAGCTACACTGTGCTGGATATGCACATCTATACTGTTAGTGCTCAGAGGCTGAAAGAGGAAGACTGCAAACTGGATGACAGCCAAGCCTACTGAGACCATGCCTCAATAAAATCTTTAACATATAAAAACATACTAAAAATAAAAATACATACATAAAGCTCCAAGAGGCCAGCCCTTCAGTTATCTGAGGGTGACTCCAGCCTGTATTTTTCAGAACTGCTATTGCAGAACTCTGAGTATGCTTTTTGCAACTAGAATGCTTTACTACTCAAGCCAACGGGTCAAAATCACGAGAGCCGTGACATACGCAGTGCAGGAAGAGTCTAAGGTCTCTCCGGATATGTGAAAATGGATGTATGTGGATTTTTTTACTCAACTGCTAATTATGATAAAACAACCAACCCCTCCCCCAGCCTCCATTATTGATGGTTTTAAAAAAGATGAGATTTTTAGAGGAAATAAGTTAGGAACAGGGAAGAGGAGACTATGGTCAAAATATAAGATGTGCATGGGGTGGGGCTGGAGAGATGGCTCAGCAGTTAAGAACACTGGTTGTTCTTGCAGAAGGCCCGGGTTCGAATCCCAGCACCCACATGGCAGCTAACAACTGTCCATAACTCCAGTCCCAGGGGATCCAACAGCTTTTTCTGACCTCCACGGGCATTGCACGACACAGGTGCACTTACCTGCATGCAGGCAATCCACGCATACACATAAAACAAAAATAATAAATAATTAATTTTTAAT